TTACTTAATTACTTACTACTTAATTACTTAATACTTAAGGTTACTTGATCATTTAGTTTCGCTTGAAAACATTTCAAAGCTCAATTATCATTAGACACTGAAAGAGAAGAGTGTTAGATGCAGAAGGATTGCTGATGGATTTGATAGCTATAGGGAAAATGTGTTCAGGAATTAAGCGAACAACGAGATATGACCGAAGCTGAGCTGAAAGATGAGGTTCTGGCGAGAATTGGAGCCGAGAAACAACTTCAAGCAGCCGAAAAAGCTTTGGAACACCTGGAAATGGCGCTTAGATTGACAGGAGCCCAAATGAGTGAACTTCAAGAGCATATTATGCCGGATGTGCATAAACTAAGAGGTTAGAACATGAATCGTTGCTTCACCGATTTTTTTGATATTATAACTGAGTGCTACAATAGAACTGTTTGTGTGAGCAGGCAAAAGTTGTCTGTCATGCGGATAAAATAAGCTTAATTAAGCTTAATCTCTTTTTTTTTCGGTGCATAAGCCATTCCGGCTGATGCAATAACTTAAATTTCAACTGATTTATGTGGAGTAGAATTTCGATGGCTGGTGTTTGTGTTTCAGAGTTTTTTGAGCGATGTGCAGAAGAGGCTCGAATGGACGCGAATAGACCGATGATAATGCGAAATGCGATTTACGCGAGACGCTCGCTGCGACGTAGTAAAACACATTTCGCGAGACGTTCGTTCAGGAGAAAATCATCAAATGAATCGCATCACGGCAGCAAACTGGACTCAGATTCGTTCTCACGAAAGACTGATAACGACGCGAAAAGCGCAACAACTGAAGCAATGTCACTGATGCATTTGTAAATCAACACCCGAAAATAATCAACGTCGCACTCTCCTAACTATGAATTTTCTTATTCGTTTTCAACAAATTCTCATTCTTAGTGTTCCAATGTACGCGAGCGATCAAAGCGGATCATAGTTATGATGGTTCTCACTGCAGAAAAAATTTTATTTTTTCTGGAAAATAATTGAAGCTTACCGCCTAGTGAATGACTAACATTGTGTGATGTATGTTAGGTTCCCCGAACTCTGATTGATTCAATGCAATGTTCTTATAAGGAATACAACTGCGAATTATTCGCTCAAAACATTCAATGATTTTAATCATAGTGAAGCGATGTTGACTTTGTGTTATGGAATGCGTTGGTTCGCGTATGACTATTTTTTTCAAGATTTTTTCATTCCGAAATTTTCCAATTTCATTGCATCGAAATCGGATTGCATTTTTCCGCAATATAATTATTCCATTGTTTGTACCATTCTATACGCTTATTTGTACGTATGCTTACAAAGTACTATATGATATTTCTTAGAATTTGTTCACTAATTGTATCGTTCACGATATCATATGACGACTGATTGCAAATGATTTCCCATGTTTTTACATGTATCACTATGCAAGTTTAAACTGTTTATATGTATGTGATTGATAAAATACCGATTAAAACAAATATTGGGTTGTTGCATAAGTTCGTGCGCTTTTATTCAAACTGAAATGCCGGCAACAGTCCACTTTTCCGGAGGAGTGTCATAACCAATCGATAGCGGGTTTTCTGCTCTCTTCGCAGCTGTGTTAGACGGTCCACTGCAGTTTCGTTTCGTCCAAATCTTCAGCGTAATGAAATGAAGTGTCAGGTGGACGAAGAAACGCGTTTTCTTATTCGCCAGATCTCGCTCCATCTGACTACCACCTCTTCCGCTCCCTCTCGAACAGCCTCAGCGGTGTAGCCTTCGACAACGACCATGCCCTCAAAACGTGG